AGCAAAACACAATAGGGATTACTAAAAAGAAAAAAAAAGAATGAATGAATGCTTTTATTGTTTTATTATTTATCATGCCATCTCTTTTCCTTTAAATTTTCTTAATTCTATTATTTCAATTCTCCTAATGTCTTTCATGTAAATGTCTTCTGAAATCTTTTGAACATTAAAAATTAATGAAATATTTCAAGGATACTAAAAATATAAAATAATGAACACCAAATACTTACAACTGAGTTTAAGAAATAAACTTAATGACATTCTCTCATCTCAGTAGTAACCTTCATCCTGAATTTAGTTTATCAACTGCAAAAATGCTTTTAATTCATTATTTCATTGCATTAATGTCAACATTAAGAAAATCATTTATCAATAATGTATATAGCCTTGTCTTAAATATACCCATTATATAGAGTACCATACTATATGTGCCTTTCAGCAACATGCCTGTTATGATTTTGTGATTTAGTCTCATTAATATAAGACTCTGTAATTGTTGTATTCTATTGTACTAACATACTAAATTCACCTGTTGATCAACATAGGCTATGTCTGATTTTTAATACTGAAGAGCACTAATGAGTATTCCTATAAATCTTCCCATTGGTTATGTAAATTACAAATGTCTTCCCTTGGTCTGTCTTTTGATGGTTTATAATGTATTTTAAACATGAAATTTGTCATTTTAATAAAGGCAGATTTATTTAATCTGTCTTTAGGGTCTGTGCTTTGTCTTTAGAAATCTTCATTATGGCCGAAGATGCCTCCCCTTTCTTACTGCCCCCCGCCAGTATACTTCAGTTTGTTAGTTGCGCAGGTAATAGTTCTGGTTATAGTTCCTGTTACTTTTATTTCTTAGAAACCAGTAGTCACTATGATGCATAACTCGTCACTTTGATGCATACTGTAAAAACCAATCCCCAACTGACAAGCTATTCTGCCCCTGTACCTCCTGCTTGCTTATTCCATATAAACCCTAGCCCACCAAAGATTAGGGCCCGATATTTTAAAAATGATCCCAATTAGTGCTTGTCAACACAAATAAATCTACTTCCAAATTCTGGGTGTTGTTTCAGTGTTTCTGCTTGCTGTAGCAACTCTATGGTCTTAAGGACTAAATTCTAAAAGTTTAAAAATTTTCTTTCTGACAGCAATACACTTGGAATACATTTTTGTTCAGTGTAGAGATTTATGAGTTTTTATATTTTTAAATTTTTCTGTATTTTCATATATATATATATGTTCCAATATATCAAATCAGTGGTCTAAACACTATTGAATAATTCATCTTCTTCATCCTTTTTCTATAGATCATTATGGCATTTTGTACACACTGTATTAAGTTGTTATAGTCAAAGGTATGTTTCTGAGTCATCAGTCTGTTTACATTTGTTTTTTCCTTCACAAATCATACTTTAAAATAAGCTACTTACATAATAAGCCTTGATGTCTGGTACAGCAAGTTCCCTTACTTTTTCAACCTCTTTTTAAATTTCCAATAATCAGCTGAGTGTGGTAGCACACACCTGTAATCCCAGCACTCAGGAGGCTGAGATAGGAGGACTGCTATGAGTTTGAGGCTAGCCTGGGCCACATAGTAAGATGAAGCCCAGCCTGAACTACAAAGAGAGACCCTGTCTCAAAAAAAAAGCAAATAAAAAACAAGACATTTAGAATTAGCCTGTCAGGATGTCTGAAAAATCCTTCTGGAATTTTGAGTAGCAATGCACTGAATTTAAAACATTAATTTGGTGAGAAATGATATATTTAATTTATTATTTCACAATTCTCCTATTATTTAGGCTTTCCTTAATATATTCTGACAAAGACTTATAATTTTCTCTGTATCAATCATGTATGTCCTTTTATTTCAAGTTTATTTTTTATTTCTACATTTATTTTTGTTTATCTTCATTGTATCGTAAAAAACAGAAAAATACACAGACCACTGGGGCTGCGGGATCCTGAACAGGCCCAGAGTGCAGGCCTGGCGAGTGAGTGAGATGACCTGGGCCTTCCGGATCCTGAACAGACCCAGAGCGCAGGCTCGGTGAGTGAGTGAGACGACCCGGGCCCTCCAGATCCTGAACAGACCCAGAGCGCAGGCCCAGGGAGTGAGTGAGAGGAGGGGGCTGCAGGATCCTGAACATACCCAGAGCTTAGGCCCGGCCAGTGAGTGGGACGACCCGGGCCTGCAGATCCTCATTCGACCTGGCTGCAGGCCCGGCAGGGAACCCTTCAGCAGAACTCCCTGCAAAGAGGCTAGAGGCAAGACCCACCCACCTGATTCAGGAGCAGAACATCTTGCCAGAGAGACACAAAGGGTTCAACTCTAACGCCTGCAGCGGAAAGAAGTGGAGCACAGCAGCCAGATCCAAACAACACCCACCTGGAGGAATCTGAACTTCGTAGATCCGGACCTGGTGCTAAGGTAATAACTCTATCTAAGCTCTACACCAAAGGTCAGAAGACAG